TGATTATTAAAAAAAATATTCAATGTATACTTATTAATATTTTATAGGTAATTTTATGGGATCCAGTTCGTAAGACATTTTGTGGTGGAAGTCTACTGAATGAAAGATGGGTAGTAACAGCTGCTCACTGTTTTTATATGAAACGTATAAAACAGCCAATTGATAAAGACAGAATTGTCATAAAGTTGGGTAAACATGATCAGTATAATTCAGAAGAAGAAGAATTTATAACTGGAATTCAGAGTTATGTCATTCATCCAGGATATAATAGAGGAAATCATGATAATGATATTGCTCTTATTCAACTGATACATACTATTCAGTTTACTGATTATATAAGTCCCATATGCTTAGGAGATCAACAATTTGTAAATGATGTGTTTTTTGAAAAATCTTTATACATGGGCACTGTAACAGGATGGGGCCAATTAAAAGAAGGTGGAGCTCAGCCAAGATTTCTACAAGAACTTCGAATGCCAATTGTAAATTGGGATGTTTGTCGTCAATCCACAAACTATCGTGTAAGTTTTTTAAAGTAATTTTTTAATTTCACCAAATCAATTTATCTAATCATTGTACCTTCACTTAAATAACAATTAATAATAATTAGTTGCTATTGGCAAAGTGATAATTTAACAAAATTATGCAATACAGTTTATTACAGTCATTTCTCAAAAGTAAAAATTAAAATTTACAGATAGTATTAACAACTTAATATAACTTGGATACATAAGACTTGGAAAAGACTTAAGTAATCAGATGAATAGTTTATTTTTAAATAAATCTTAAGTTACATCATTGAAATTTTTTAACAAACAGAAATAAAGTATTAGTTTAAAAGCCTTTTATATTTAAAGAAACAGTAAAAAAAAAGTGTAATATAATCTGTTGATACAATTCTACCAAATGAGCTGAGCTCAGGATTTTGATTTACAGTTTTGTTCCTTATTCAGAGTTCTTTTTAATTCGAGGTAGTCTCAGTCCAATCTTCCCATCTATTTCAAATTATCAGGACTCTTACTATGTATCTTTTGCTAGAAATGATTTTCATTATTTCTATAATTTTAAAATATTATCCTTTAATACTTTTAGTAATTATCTTATTCTAAAAATTGTTTATAGTTCAAGTAGTTTTTATTTGAATGCTTTCATTTTAATAACAGAATAAATGTGTATCCATTATTATTAAGGATGCAATTTAATTTCAAAAATGGGTTTTGATGCAACACATTCCCAAAACAGCTCAGCTTTGCCAAATTGTACCCACTAAAAATACAGATTCTGTAATTTGCACTAAGAATAAGCTGAATAATCAATGCCACTTGGTAGCAGCATTTTGTAAAATGTACATACAGTCTTTAACTTTTAATATTGTCAATCTGTATATTATCTTTCTAGAATATACTGTAAATATTCTATTGAATTCAGACCACACAAGTTGAGTCAGTCTGTCCATTGAGTACTTTCATTTTCAAGCTAATCTTCAATGTATTTTGATCAGTTCCTACATCCACACTCCTACAAAATAGACAAAGTCAAGGCTGTGCCAGAAAAAAAGTCTTTTATCTCAAACTTAATTTGGATTATATCTTTCAAACAATGAAGTAGTGTTTTTAGACATTCGCTATATCCACAAAGAAACCTACTCTATTGTTGCATGTTAATTTCTGACTTCAATAATCAGTCCAAATGTAATTGAGAATTTTATGTCCATCTTTGGAGAACTTACTACTAAAAAACAGTTCTTGGAACACTTATTCACAACCAAGGATCAACAGTTAGAAGTTAACCAATAAGCATTCACATAATAAAAGTAAAGTGAATGGTAATTGGTTAACTTCTAACACTAAGTCTTGATCTTTGGTTGTGAATATGGACATACCACATAAGATTTGAAACATTACTTAAAATTTTAAGTCAATCTGACAACTTAAAAAATGTTTTTTTGACAGCATACCCTAATGGAACAAATTTATACAAAATTACTCTTAAAACTGTTTAATTGTGTCAAAAACATATACAAATTTGTATAAGTAAAATTTATAATTTAATATTCTTTTGTTTTTGCTTATCTGTATGTCCTTATGATATCAAAATTATACAAATCCAAAACTGTATTTCCTTTTTCTTTATCTGCATTGTCTTAACTAAAATAAAGGTACAAAGACAAGCTCCTGAATCCTTGTTATGAATGTACTAGAATAATGATATTGTTATCTTTCCTGTACATTTCGTATTCCTAACATCTCTAATCTTGTTTAGCTTTGTCTCAATTCATTGTAAGAGACTAGCCATTTTGTTTTTATTTTTACTTACCAGATTATATAAAATATTTAGCTTAAAATCATGACATTTTTTGTTGCCAAAAAAATGAACTGCAGGACTGGGAATTGATGAATAGTCACATAATTTTTGAACAAATGAGCAAGCCCATGTAGTAAGCAGGTGGCAAAGTCTCCTAGTGACATACAATAAGAAATATTTGTAAAAAAGTTGTTAGAAATTCAATTCCATTCAGACATTAGCAGGAGAATTCATAAAGTTGTCTTCTTCAGACTATCAGTGTTTTTTTAAACATTATATTATATTTAATAATTTTGTGTTCTAAAAGCTGTTCTTTATAATAATACATTTCCTTAAATATGGCCTTAATTTGTTAACATATTTATTCTCAAGTGTTTTTAAATTCACATGGATATTGATTGAAGATTGACAATGTTTGTTGGACAATGTCTATGATATGGGTCTTCCTTATCTAAAACATTAGATACTGATGATCAAATTGGTTAGTTTGTCAATTTCGGTATTAATACCTGCAATTGCTAGTTTAAAATAGTATTGGCAGTCTTACTATTAATAAGGAATAATCTTGGGAACGACGACTCAGGAGCTTGCCTTGAGTAATCACAGGAGTGATTACTGCTTATATAGAGTACACTAGCAGGAACTTTTTCCAGAGATTATATGACTACTGATCACCACTAAGGATGCAGAGAATCTTTGGAAAAAAGTTAAGGTTATCAGAAATGTAATGTTTTCTGAATATTACACAATGATAGACCAAATCAAGATATGTAAATAAAAACTACAAGGTGTGCATGCTTTGAATTAGAAAGATCTAAAATTCCTTTCTAACTCTTGAAAGTTTATATAGTCAAATTCATTGAAGCTGTAGTCCACTTAAATGTTCTACAGCTAAAATAACATTTTATTTTATGTGTATAATTACCAATTGTGTGTTTATTTTATTTTTCTTGTTTCATTTATGATTAACGATTTGAACATTTACTTCAAACTATTCTTTCCATTGTCCTGAAAATGATCTATATAAATGAGATGATAAAAAAAAATTAAACTTAAACTATCAATATTCTTGATTATCTTTTTTTACTTATATACTAAGTAATTTCATAAAATACAATATACAAAAATAGAGGGATGATAATTTTATTTTAAATTAATTAAATTTCTAATTTTTATTTATCATTATTTAGACAACCAGGAATATGTTTTGTGCTGGATATGCTGAAGAAATAATTGGAGATGCTTGTAAAGGAGACAGTGGTGGACCATTTATTACAGAACATCAAGGAATGTGGTACTTAATTGGTATAGTCAGTTGGGGTGAAGGATGTGGACGAAAGGGAAAATATGGTTTTTACACAAAAGTGGACAATTATCATCCATGGATTAAAGGAATTATTAATTTATAATATGCATTTCCTAATTAATTCTGTATTCATTACACTGTAAAAACAAAATTTGAAATAATTGAAGTACACTAAAGTATTAATAGAATAGCAAGTTTTGTTTCTTCAAGAAAATTAAAGTTTCATACATACTGTATATGTTCTTCACCTTAATTAATTACTAGGAAAAACAACAATTCATAATTCTAGTTAGTTTATATAAATTTAATACACACATACTTATAGATTTTCTTAGCCTGAAATAATTTGAATGCTAAACAGAAACAAAACTAAAATTCAAAATAATGCCTAAACTGAACTCTTATATTGTTTATATGAAAAATGTTTTAAATAATTATCACCTCAGATAATTTATCTCATTTGACAATTTTACCATCTTTTTTAACTACAAAAAGAATGTCTATTTAAAATTCTAGATATTAATATTAAATAAAAAACTAAACGAAAGTTATAGAAAAATGTATAATTTAATAATTCTATATAAAAGATATAATATAATACAATTTTATTACATTGTAATGTAATATTGATAAAAACATGTATCAGTTCTTCATATTATTGAAGATTCATTTTTTTTTATCAAATATGATATAATTACTTTAATTAGCTGCTTAAAACAATTTATTTATTTATTCTGAAAAAAAATTAGAATCTAGGCATATTAATAGATGTAATCAATTTGTGTTAATAAAAAAGTATTTATACCAAAATGTTGAAAATATAAGTAGCAAAAGCCACCCAATGACTTGCAAAGTTCAAATTGGCCCACTTATACAATGTATGCTTCATATTATAACCCTGAAAATAATAGGCTTTTTAATTAAAATTAATCCAACAATATTTTATTATATTAGAAACTGTTTTAAATTTTTAATATGTAAATTTAAAATCTTAAATATTGATTCCTTCATTAATAAGAAAAATTAAAACTAGTACAAATTTACGTTATTATATTTATGAATTAACAGACAATTACTTACATATTAATTTAATAAAATTAAATTTCTTACATAAAGTACACTGATACAGTTTATAGGATAAGATAACATTTTTGTCAATGACTGTATAAAAAAACTCTCTGAATAAAGGAGGGATTGGAAATGAATGATACTTTATTAGTGCAAACATACTGATAATGGTAATAAGCAATTACAACCTATGTTTTCCCATGAAATATTCTGTGACAGAGTTACCCCACAGATGTTGCAACTATGTTCCATATCCTTCAGTCTTTTAGGCTGATGTCCCACCTACCCTAAAATTCAAGAGACCAGACAGACCAAGCAAGTGTGGCAACATGCTTGGTCTGCCTAGTCTCTTGATGTCTCCATCATGTTGCCACACTTTGTGCTTGTCTCATGATCAGACAATTGTCCCTCTTGGTCTGTCTGCTCTCACACTGTAACACTTCACAATCAGGTCAGGTCAGAACAGCCTCCTCCTTTCTTTAGTCCAAAAATGTGATCTTTATACACAGCTGGTGCATTTGAGAATGTCTTTGTCATATAGGTATGCCTGGCATTTAATGCCTCCAAATTTTGAACCTTTCTATAGAATACTGGAATAGCAATTGTAAGGCACTCTAGTGACATGATCTGACATGCAATCAATATACAGCTGTATGCCATGTTCTGCAGTAATCAGGTAATTCTATCTCAATGCATAACTTTTTTTGTCAATAAGTGTATTATCAAAAACAAAAATTGTTGTTGTTTTGAGTTTTTCAATGAATGGATTCATTATTGAAATATTCAGTAGGCAATGTCACCATCAACATCATAATATTAAATAGCTACATCATTTCCTTAATTAAATAAATATCACTAATAAAAATAACAGTAAAGCCATTATTATATATTAATATTTTANAGCTACATCATTTCCTTAATTAAATAAATATCACTAATAAAAATAACAGTAAAGCCATTATTATATATTAATATTTTATATGAAAAATGCTATTGTAGTTTTGGCTATTTTATACTTGCTTTTTTAAAAAAATACTTGACAGAATAATAGTAAGATCATTTGAATGGTTATGGATTAAATATATAAAATAACTTGTCCTGACTGACTGACAGTGATTTGATTCATCATTGACCAGGAGCTGAACCTAAAGAGATGAAATTTGGTACACGGGGTACATCATGAAAATGCACACTAAGAAGGGAATGTTCGAAATTCCCCCCACGGGGGAGAGAGAAAGGATTAAAGTTTAATCTGAAGAAGGGCTTCTACTATTTTAGATGCAATTTTTTGTTTTCAACTATGTTTAGTCTTCATTGAGTACTTAGGTGTATTAAATTATAACATTTCAGACATTGTTATAAATATTTTTATATATTTCAATTTTTTAACCAAATGTTTGAACCGTTTTAAATTCAAATTTGTTATTGCATATTGGTTCGATTATAGAATGAATGTAAATGTTCCAGAAAATTGATCAAATTGAAAACAGTTTGCTTGATTCTCAGCAGTAGGTGTTATATAACAATTACTGTGGTTGTTGAAATACTGAATATAAATGATGTTTGCTTGCAAAATCTGCATGGGTGAAGTTGCGGGTAACAACTAGTATATTATAAAATTTATTTACTTCTGATTATATTTTGTTATTGAATAAATGGTGAGATAATTTAATTTTTTTTCTGTTTTTTGGTCATATTGCAACAAACTCAGAATTCTTGACCTTACATTATTTTATGCATAACTAAATAATTTTTCATGACTATCATGGTTAATTATCATTACTTTGCTAAACTTACAATCAAAATTATTATTCCATCTATTATAAAACAAATATTAACATATAGTAGTAATTGTTTTTCAGAAAATTGAAATGGAGTAAAGGTTAATTCATAAATATATACACTTCTCACAAACATTAATAGTTCAAAACTATGAGAAAGAGATGCACACACACTCATGCTCTTGGTTTAAAATAAAGTGGCTCATGTCTTTTGAGTGTAACTAAATCTTAAATGTAAAATGCTTTATTAAAATAAACATATTCTTATTTTTAAGTCAAAAAAGAAAAAGAACAATACAAACTAATGTATTTTGGAAACATCTCTAATTTTATCTTCAATACAGGGTTATTAAAAAAAAAACTTAATGGTTTCAAAAAATTACTCTGTTTATTGCAAACTAATACTAACATACAATGTAAGGTCATTTCTAGAAAAATTCTGAAAGTTTTTTTGAGACAAATGCTGTATGTTACTTCCTCGTAAACTTAAACCATTTTCTTCCTTTTTTTAAGGGCTCTCTATCTTTCAAACAATGAGATAAATTAATTACTTTACTTCATACTAGTAGCCCGGGTTGCCCCCTAGTGGGCGTTTTAGCAGTATTACAAATTCCTATGAGGCATGTTTAATTCACTTAATATATGAAAGTTGTGTGTGCTTAATTTTTAAAAGTTTGATGTACTTAATATATATAAATGTATACAACTCTTCATCTTAGAAACTATGATATAATTACTTTAATTAGCTGCTTAAAACAATTTATTTATTTATTCTGAAAAAAAATTAGAATCTAGGCATATTAATAGATGTAATCAATNCTAGTGGGCGTTTTAGCAGTATTACAAATTCCTATGAGGCATGTTTAATGCACTTAATATATGAAAGTTGTGTGTGCTTAATTTTTAAAAGTTTGATGTACTTAATATATATAAATGTATACAACTCTTCATCTTAGAAACTAAACTTAAAAAATCAATATGCAAACAGCAAACAGTATTTGTACTGTACATGAGAAAGTGAAGCTATTCTTTACTGAAAATTGTTCAATAGAATTAATATAATTAAAAAATCAAGTATAAATATACACAAATCTTCATGTTAAAAAGTAATGTTAACAGATCAATACACAGCAAGCAGATCTCAGCTCATCAGTTTCATTCTGCAAGCCTCCACGTGTTGATTGTGCTATTCTCTGTAATCTTTCCTGCGCACGTCTCTCCCTTTGTCTCGCAGCAGCGGCAGCTTTACGTTCCTCCACAGTGGCGTATTTCTTTGGTCGTGGCATAAAAGGTTTCTATTTTTATATTAAAATATTACCTTAACTATTTTAAACGTTATTGTTTTATCATAGCGGTTCAAATCTATGTGGTTTTTCGTTATTCGCCCCCTAGTGAACATTACAGGCATTCCGTGACAATAATAAATTCCTATTACAAATATATTGAATTATTTATATTGTTATATTGACCAAATAATAATTTATTGCCCAAATGAATAATAATAATTTATATTGTTAATTTAAATAATAATTAAAATTGTTAATTTAATTTGGTGTTTGAAATATGACACACAATAGGGGCGCCTCTAGTGTCCGTTATGAAACGGTTACGGGATGGACACGAAATGAATGGGTTATATATATAGATTTACTTGTAAGGAAGAATAAGCAGTTTTAAATTAAACAAAGCTTTTTCCAATACTGCAGTACAAGAAATAGTTATATTCTGTTCTATATCATAACACATTTATAAATCTCATTTGATTGAAATGGCTTTGCAACTCTTTCAATAACTGTTTATACTAAAGTGTGTTTTTTTAAGTTTAGTTAGCTATAGTATCAGTGATCAAAAACAAAGTTCTGGTGAATTACAATTACAAGCACAAACCCATTCATATAATATTTTCTTTTTCTAATATGCTTTGATGAATCAAAAATTAGGCATCCAATTTTTTTGTTAGAAAATGTAGTAATCATTGCAAATCTATTTTCATACATATTTGAAAGAAATTTATATAAAATATTTTGTCTCATGTAAACATAAATTAATCTCTTTTTCCTATTTTTCTCAATGAAAAAATGAAATTTAAAAATTTTTAAAAATCATAATTTTATAGTTAGCTAACATTTGTAAGACATTCTTATTTAGTTTCATTTCAACAGAATATTCATAGAAGAAAAAACTATTTTGAAAATGGATAGAGGTTGTTTGGATTACAATTATAGTCATAATAAAACAATGTGCTTGTCTAAATTTTAAAATATTTTTAGGGATTATTACAAACTTTCTTATTTATCAATTTCAAGAACCAATGTTTTTCATTCTAACTAAATTTCTGAATTAAAAACAATGTTTTAAAATATAGTAATTTTAAAATATATCACTCA